TCTAATCATCTCCAGCTGCGTGCTTGCACAAGATATCCATTTCCTCTTTCTTTTATTCTTTTCCACTTTGGAGAAATTGCTCCAGCTTCTCAAATTTTTCCAACATACATTTTCCTGGGGACTCATCCAGAATTCAGGGTGTTTATACTGGAGTCTTCCCTGAAGGTTGCCCTCTTTTCACTTTGCTGGACTCTGAGCTCTGCCACTGTTACTAAACAGTTTGTGGTGCTTTAAAATGATTTCACCACTTTTCCAATTAAGCTGTCCCATTTCTAAACTTCCTAAGATGTCCTCAATACATTATGCAGGCATGGTAATATAGAACATAGCTCTCAAACTTCAGTTCCCTGGAGGCTTCTAATATAGTGAATTTGGAGTATATCCTGGGATTTTATATTTCTAAAATGTGCCCAGATGGAGTACTATTGCCAGTGAGTGGATTGTGCATATGTAAACACTTGATGCTCAGTCTTTAGCACACAGAAGATGTGCCTTGAGGGCTTCATTAAGACACACTGAGTGGGCCCCTCCTACATAGGTTCTGAGGCTGGAATTCAGAGTGAATCTCCAGAAGTTGCCTTTCCAGCAAGCTACCCAGTGATACTGATGCTGGTTTATTGGTTTGTGGACCACATTTGTTGGCCATTGGTTAAACCAGGAGCACATGACTAAATTGATACCAGAAAAATGAGCAAGCCTAGAAAAACCGATGTGAAATCACAGAACTCTGCTATGACCCTACCTCTATTCCAGGCCTAATCAAATGTCCCTCTCTATATATCAACACCTCAGACAAGGATTTGCTTTATCTCCCTCTGCAAATGTCCATATTCTTCCTTAAATTTATCTGCATTTCAAAATAGATCTCTCCAAATCTCTGAAAAGACAAATGATGTTATTCTTTTCTGTCATGCACACCCAAAATCCCACTTTTTCTGAGCTGATGTTCCTCTGTCTCTAAAATTTTCTCCCATTACATAACCTCACATACCAAGAGTAAGATTTCAGCATTGAAATTGTTTTTTTAATATTTTGGGTTCTGGTACCACATAAATCAATGGGGAGAAGGTATGATTTTTTTTCAAATAGGCAAAAAACAAAACCCAAAAACAAATGAAAAAACAATTTTGGTGGCACATGTCTGAAGGTAAGGCATTTGAGAGGCTGATCTAGGACACTCTCCTGTTTCAAGCCAGTCTTGGCATATCAGCAATACCCTGCCTCAAAACTAAACATATGAATAAATAAGAGAATAGTATGGTTTTTGGCTGTTATTCCAGGAATCAGGGGATACATTGTATTTCCTGGCTCTTGTATTCTTGAAGAGATTTTCAGAGAAGACACAAAGTTTAGTTAAAGTACAGCAAAGTTTATTAGTACAGAAAAAACAATCAAAATGAGGAATAGAAAATGATACATCTCTGAGAGAGGGACCACATACCTGCTTTGTTCTCCAGTTTGGGGGGAGCATTTGGGATTAAACTGAGGGGCTTTCATATGCTAGGCAAGTGCTCTTCCACTGAACTACACCCTCAGTCCTAGAGTATAGTATTTTGATAAAACACTGCTTATTGTGTGCACCAATTCTAAAGCTTCCTTATTATCAAATTGATTGCATGTGTGCATCTAGTACAAAGACAGTGGTCTAAGTTTGCTGACTCTGATCTAGTTTCTAATTTCTTACACTTTTTGTTGATGATTGAGGGTAATACAGGGCAGAATTAATTTTTAATTGGAGTGACAGCTGATTAAATAATAGAATACAAAAGCAAAGATTTTACAGGTTCCTTCATGTAAATGAGAAAGCACTTGAGGCAGAGAGAAGGTTCATGTATCCACCATCTCTTGGTATCATGACTCAATACTCCCCACCTCAGTCCACTGAGATATGGCATGTCTGATTCCTCAAGGGCACAGGGGCACTCAAGTATGCCTAAATTGACTTTTATTGGTGTTTACTTCACAATTATTTCAAATAGCCAAAGCAAAAATAAAAACAAAAACTGAAAAGAACACAAATACTTATATTGTCAAATGACAGAATGAATCATAAAGTTTTGATGGAATACATTACAGTCCCCTCCCAACACAAAACCATGCTTTCTTTCTTTTTAAAACTATACAATTTATATACAAAATATTCACCATTTTAAATATACAGTTCAGAACCAGGCAAGGTGGTACATTCCTGTAGTCATAGCTACTCAGGAGCTAAGAATGGAGAATTACAAGTTCAAGGTCAGCCTGAGCAATTTATCAAGACACCATTTCAAAAATAAAAGTGAACACAAATGAGTGACAGTGCTTGGAAAGCATGAACAAGACCCTGTGATCATTTCACAGTATCATGATATTAATTTAAAATTTTGACCTTTAAGCATATTGTGTGCATTTGTGTGTCTAGGATCCTGGGAATTTAACCATGGGACAGTCTGCCACTGAATTTCATCCTTATTCTTTTTTTTTTTTTTTTTTTTTTCAGTTTTAAGGTAGTGTCCCTGTTCGACACCCAGGCTAGCCTTGAACTTGAGATGCTCCTGTTACAGACTCCTGAGTTGAGATTAAAGGTATTTGCTGTTATGCCTCGAACTGCCCTTTTAGTCATTTTCTGTTTTAACCACAATGAATATAATAAATGGCAGTAAGCATATTTACGTCATTGCATAACCACCATCCAGAAGTTTTTAATCACCCCAAATGGAAACCTAGCAAGATATAAACACTAACTCCTAATCTCTCTCTTCCTCCAGTTTCTTATAACCACCACTCTGTTTTTTTCTATGCATAAAATTGCCTATTCCATATACCTCATTTAATTTAAGAGGATAACTTTTGGCTTTTGCCTGTCTTCTATCGTTTAGAAAAATGTCCTCAGGAATCAACCATGTTAGCCCGAATGTTAGCCCCAAATCCCAGGATAAGGAGGCAAAAAACAGTGACAACAGCCGAAAGTGCTGCTTTGCTTATGTGCTAAAAGTGCAGAAGCAGGTCTACCTTTACCTCATCATTTCTCAATATAGTTGGAGTGTATCAGAAAGACTTCATGACAGTAGGTCCTGGATACTCTCCTCCTGAAGTGCACAAGGCAAAAAGTAATTCTGACATATCTATTTATTTCATTATGGAGTGGGCTCTGATTATTCCAGGTTCCCAAATGTAGGTGATGCCTTGCTGCCTCCTTATTGCTAGGTGAAGAGGAAAATATTCTTGCCTTGTAGGAAGAATGAGTAGTTCCAGTGATTCCATAGTGTCCCTAGTGAATGAGACCTACCACTCATGTCATGCTAGTCTTGGGGATCTCATTGTATTGTCAGAGAACCCAGATTCTATCCTGGCAGTCATGAGCTTACCTGACTGTTCTGGTTACCAAACTCAGCAGGTCTACTTCTTGCTGTGAATTAAATTGGAGTAGTTGCCACTAGGCTGAGGGTGTAGCTCAGTAATGGATAACTGGCCTAGCATGTTGATATCCTGAATATCAATCATCTAACAAAACTAAAATAACATAAACCCCCAAATCCCCAAACACAAACAAAAAACCAGAAAAGTAGTTTGCACATAAAGTAAAGTTTATCTGCACTAAATAAGGGCACAATTGAAAATCTCTTTCAAAAAAATGAGTCCATAATTTGGGGCCAGCATGTAAAATTTATTATGGTGTGATGTGAATTTTCAGGAAGGAAATGTCATTACACTTAGATAGTAGAACACATTAGTTAAGCATCAGTTAAAAAGAAAAGCGTTTTATCATACATTAAATTATATGAAAATATGGATTAATTTTCTCCATGGGTGAAGATAATAACATTGCCCTTGTTAAGAGAATGGTGACTCCAGTTGTTCCTCTTTGTCCTCAGTAATGGAAACCTGTCCTCTCAGATCAAGGTGGTCTTTAGGGGAGGTGGTTACCTTGTATTATCAGACTAATAAGGTTCACTCTAGTAAGTCTCAAAACTACCAGATTGCTTTGGTTGCATATAAGCAATTTAAAAAAGAATGATTTCATATTTATAGAACACGCACTGTAGGTTCCTATTCTCTGGGGTCTTGATGGTGCCCCCGGATGGGAGATTTTAGGGCTCTTCAGAGTTACAGGGTACTTCAGAGAACATTCACTCTATAAGGTTTGTAAATGATGTTTTTCAAGATACAGGTTTGGGGGTTTTACTTTCATATTCCCATATCCTGCCTATAATCTCTTAATTTCTCTACAATAACAGAAAAAAATGTATAAAGATCTAACTAATGCAAATAATGTCGCTCAAAGACTAAACTTTGATTAAAATGTTTAAAATAATTAATGGAGATGTTACAGCATGAATCATGCAACAGTGTGTATTACTGTTATAAAGAATTTTTAATAACATGGAATAGTGTACTATCTGTGATATAATGACATGATTAAATACATGACAGTGTTAACCTATTAACAACCATTGACTATATTTATTCACAAACTGCAAACAAAATGTGAATAATTGTAAAAATGCACTGTAAGATGGATGTGGTGTCCCATGCCTATAATCCCAGTGATTTGGAAGGAAGGAATTTTAAGTTCAAAGTCAGCCTCAGTAACTTAGCAAGCTCCTAAGCAACTTATGGAGATAATAAAATAATAAAATAAAATAAAATAAAATGCCTGGGTATGTGGCTCAGTACTTAAGTTCCCTTGAGTTCAATTTATAGTACAAAAAATAAAAATTAAAGAATTCAAATTTAGGATCAAATCTCAAACAAACAAACAAACAGACCCCCCCCCCCAGAATTATTATATAATCAACTATGTGAGAATTGTGGGTTTTTTCTGGTTTTCAAAGTGGGAACACTAAGTAATATTTCATTTATAAGAAATTTATATCCTTATATATGACCTATATGCACTATGCTGTATTTTGAGAATTTCATTATTTCTATCACATCAGCTAATGAGATGTTTAATAAATTTTCAGCAAACTTAAAGCCAATTGCCCATTTTGATTATTAAAATGATTTCTTTCTTACCAATCCTCATATGCATCAAGATACAAGATAAAGATGAAAAATTTATTATGCTTTTTAAAAATATTTCTTGTTTATTTATTGTAAATACTTTGATGCTATCTAAGGCATATATTTTACAAAAATGCTGTGCCACCTTCACTACAGGTATTAGGTTTTAGATGCTTAAGAAAGTTGAAAATTTGAATAAAGGCTTGGAAACATTATTTTAATTTACAAAATATGGATTTTTCCAGTCTTTAGTAATGTTTGAGATTAGCTATGAGATTTGCAATAATTTTTCACTTATACTCTCTTTCACAAGTATGTATTCTCAGTTGCTTAGTAAATTGTGATTGTTGGGAGATGGTCACATTTTTTTACATTTGAATAATTTCTCTCTGCTATGATTCTTATGGTGTGGAATACAGGTTGAACCATTCCTAAAAGAATTGGTACAATACACTCATTAGTAGAGTTTCTCTTCAATATCAAGAACCTCTAATATTTGATTAAAAGCTGTGCATGTTGTTCTCATATGTAGGGCTTCCCTCCAGCATAAATACTGTGGTGATCAAATAAAAGCTTTGTTGCATTCTTTACATTTGCAGGGTTTCTCTCCATTATGATACTCTGGTGGAAATAATGTGTGATCTTTGATAAAAAGGCTCTGCCATAGTCTTCACATTGTAGGGCTTTTATCCAATATGAATTCTGGTAGCAAATAAGGTGTGCTCTTCATCAAAAAGCTTTGCCATATTCTTCATATTTTTATGGCTTGTCTACAGCATGAATTATCTGATGGCAAATAAGGTGTGATCTTCAATAAAAGGCTTTTCCACATTCTCCACGTCTAGGCCTTTTCTCCAGCAAGATTCTCCGGCGATTAAAAAAGTGTGATCTGTGATAAAACTGTTTCTTACATTTTCACATTTGTAGGGCTTCTGCTTAGTATGGATACTCTGGTGTAGAGTATGTGATATTCTTTCATTTAAAGCTTTTCAACTCTTCAATTTGCAGGACTTTCCTCCTTTATGTACTCTTTGGTGGCTAGTAACATGTGATCTTCGATAAAAAGCTTTGCCACATTCCTCACATTTGTATGGCTTCTCTCCAGTATGAATTCTCTGGTGGTAAACAAGGTGTGATCTTTGATAAAAAGCTTTGCCACATTCCTCACATTTGTAGGGTTTCTTTCCAGTATGAATTCTCTGGTGACTACAAAGGTTTGATCTTTGATAAAAAGCTTTGCCACATTCTTCACATTTATAAGGCTTCTCTCCAGTATGAATTTTCTGGTGGCTAACAAGGTGTGATCTTTGAATGAAAGCTTTGTCACATTCTTCACATTTGTATGGTTTATTTCCAGTATGAATACTCTGATGTTGAGTAAGTGGTTTTCTTTCATTAAAAGCTTTGTCACATTCTCCACACTTGTAAGGCTTCTCTCCAGTATGAATTCTCTGGTGGCAAATAAGGTATGATTTTCGATAAAAAGCTTTGCAACATTGTTCACATTTGTAGGGCTTTTCTCCTGTATGAATTATCTGGTGGCTAATAAGGTGTGATCGTCGATAAAGAGCTTTGCTACATTGTTCACATTTGTAGGGCTTCTCTCCAGTACGAATCCTCTGGTGGCTAACAAGGTGTGATCTTTGAAAAAAAGCTTTGTCACATTCTTTGCATTTGTAGGGCTTATCTCCAGGATGCATAGTCTGGTGTTGAGTGAGTGATGTTCTCTCATTAAAAGTTCTGCACCCTTCTTCACATTTGTAGGGCTTCTCTCCAGTATGAATTACCTAGTGACCAACAGGTGTGATCTTTGATAAAAAGCTTTGTCACACTGTTCACATTTGTAGGGCTTCTTTCCAGTATGAATTCTCTGGTGACAAACAAGGTGTGATCTTCGATGAAAAGCTTTTCCACATTCTTCACATTTGTAGGGCTTCTCTCCAGTATGGATTCTCTGGTGGCAAATAAGTTGTGATCTTTGAATAAAAGCTTTGCCACATTCTTCACATTTGTAGGACTTCTCTCCTGTATGAATACTCTGATGTTGAGTAAGTGATTTTGTTTCACTAAAAGCTTCATCACACTTTTCACATTTGTAGGGTTTCTCTCCAGTATGAATTCTCTGATGGCATATAAAGTGTGATTTTTGAATAAAAGCTTTGCCACATTCTTCACATTTGTAGGGCTTCTCTCCAGTGTGAATTCTCTGGTGGTTAACAAGGTGTGATCTTTGATAAAAAGCTTTGTCACATTCTTCACATTTGTAGGGCTTCTCTCCAGTATGAATTCTCTGGTGGCTGACAAGGTGTGATCTTTGAAAAAAAGCTCTGTCACATTCTGAACATTTATACGGCTTCTCTCCAGTATTCAGAGTCTGGTGTTGAGTAAGTGATGTTTTTTCATTAAACGTTCTGCACCATTCTTCACATTTGTAGGACTTCTTTCCAGTATGAATTTTCTGATGGTAAGATGTGATCTTCGATAAAAAGCTTTGTCACATTCTTCACATTTGTAAGGCTTCTCTCCAGTATGAATTCTCTGATGGCTAATAAGGTGTGACCTTCGATAAAAAGCTCTGCCACATTCTTCACATCTGTAGGGTTTTTCTCCAGTATGGATTCTCTGGTGATCAACAAGGTGTGATTTTTGATAAAAATCTTTCTCACATTCTTTACATTTGTAGTGCATCTGTCCAGTATGAATTGTCTGGTGACGAGTAAGATTTTGGATTTTATTAAAGGTATTGTTGCATTCTTTACATTTGTAGGACTTATTTTCACTATCACTCTTTTGATATTGAGAAGGGTTTGAAGAATTCTTTAAGGATTTGTCACATCCTTTACAACAGTAGTCTTGCTCTCCAGGATGAATTCTCTGGTGTTTAGTATCAAGTGAGCTTTGATACACAAGTTTGTCACATTCTTTACATTTGTAGAGTTTGTCACTGTTATTCCATCTCAGATGTTCAGAAAGGGTTGAGAAATGGCTAACGGCTTTGACACATTCTTTATATTTGCAGGCCTTCTCTTGAGTATGAATTGTCTGATGCTTAACAGGGAGTGACATTTGATTAACAGTATTGTGAAACTCTTGAAATTTGCAGGGCTTATCGCTACAATAATATTGGTGTTGTTTAGAAAGGTATGAACAATCAAGTGCTGTCATACATTGTTTGAACATATTGGGATCTCTTTCAATATGAATTTTCTTGTATTGGGTAAGGTTTGCAATTTCATTAAGAGCTCTTTCACATAAGTTACACTTGCAGGACTTGTCGTGCCTATAAATATTTGTCTGAATAATAAGTTTTGAGCATTGAAATAAGACTTTCCAACATTTTTCATCTTTGTAAAGGTTCTTTGAAAACTGGGTGTATTTATTTTTTCTCAGATTGCAATCAATGCTATACTTTTTATGAGTGTCTCTATACTCATATTTTTCATGAACAATATGAACACAGTGATAACTATTTAGGGCAGAGAGCTGGCTAAAAGCATCATCTGTTTCATTATTGATGAAGCATAATTTCCACAAACCTGTATCTGGATTTTTATTAAGCAATAATGGGTAACTGTGGACCTTTTCACAGTTGTTAAAATAGCACATTGGGGCACGAGGAGAAATGATTCGTTCATTGCAGAATATTGGGCATTTTGTAAAACTTTTAAAAACTTGTCCTTCAGTTTTAAATTTCTTGTCTCTGAAAATGTTTGACTGGACATTTAACTCAACACTACCTTTGATAATTGTCAAATTAAAAATTGAAGCATAAACTAGATGTCTTTTCAAATCTTCCATATTTTCATTATGAAAAATTATATGCTTCAAAAATTGCTGTGGATTCATTCTTAAAGATATATATAGCTCCTGAAAAATAACTGGCATAAGTTGAATTATTTCCTGAGATATTAAACGTTCTTGATGTCTGTTGACAGTGAAATTTTCATTATGAATATTTATGGCTAGTAGGTTTTTTCCCTTATAATGTAATTTCTTACTTTCATTCTCACATACAGTTTCCCATATTTTCCTTAGTTGTATATTGTCAAGGTCATGATTTTCATTCTTTTCCTTTACCACATGTTGAAATATATGTTTTATGCCCTCCTCTGGTGAAAATTCTTGAGTATGATGAGAAGTCATGGCTGAAACATATAAAAATAACAATTATTTTTTTTTTAAAGAGAGAGAGAGAGAGAGAGAGAGAGAGAGAGAGAGAGAGAGAACATTTTTTAATATTTATTTTTTAGTTTTCGGTGGACACAACATCTTTATTTGTATGTGATGCTGAGGATCAAACCCAGCGCCGTGTGATGCCAGCTGAGCATGCTACCGCTTGAGCCACATCCCCAGCCCCCAAAATAACAACTATTTTACCTACTAGACTGGAATGAATGTTTTGCAAACATCACACATAAAATTATAGAAATATCAGTACATCAATAGAGTAACAGAGGAGTAAATCCAGTCATAATTACACCGAGAACATATAAACTAAATAAAAATGTATAGACATGTTAGAGTCTGTAAACAAGTCAAAATAACACCTGGCATTTTGCCAGGGGAATGTTAGAGTTCGTAAACAAGTCTGGATGGTGCCTGGCAAAATGCCAGAGGGAGTGGTTTGAGAAGTAACAAAAGCGAGCCATTAAGTGTGGAGATTCCTGATTGGTTGACTGATGTATCTAGTTTATGCTAATTAGATAAGCTGTCTGGAATGTATAAATACTGCTCCTGTCCTGCAATAAACGGCTCCCACTCCTGCTGTATCAACATACACAAGTTATTCGTCACCCCCCGGTTATTTTGCTGCAGCCAGACAGACTGCGGCATAGACACAATCACTTTCTGAGAACTGTTCAAACCATCTTAGAAATCAGAGAATCCAAGATTAGTAAATTACTAAGGAGAGGAATAATAATATCAGGAAGGAAAATGTGTTACTTTTATCAATTATACCCCTTCCATGTCCATAATATGGCATTCAGAAATTATGAAAAAAAATCTACTAATTCCTTTCTCACTCAATGGAATAAGGGAAATATGAAACAGATGCAAACACCTGTGACTTAGTTGGAGGCAGTCTGAACACTGGTTTCTATCTACCATTACATTGAGTCCTGGAGACAACTTGAAAATAATATTGAGAGGCAATAAATACCCAGCAGAGCCTATTTCTATATTACCTGGATGAAGCCAACACATGACAATCAAGGAAAATAACTTTTTATTTTTAAATGTGTTTTTATCTCATTTGTTTCATTAAAAATTAAACTTTATGTATTTATCAAGCATATCATGATATTTTAATGTGTGTGTGTGTGTGTAAATCTAGTGAATGAACACATGCATATTTTCATATAATTATCACTTTTGTGCTTAGACTATATTGCATTCATTCTATTACCATTAATCAAGAACACAATATACTGTACTCACAATGTAGTACAATAGAACTCTTGACCTTCTATGTCCATTAAAATAAAAACTTGCTGACTTTGACCAAAAATATGCCAACTCTCCACAAAACACACTACCCAATGACCACAATTTCACTCTCACATTTCTGTCTTCCACACATGAATCAGATGCTCCTGTAACTGACTTTCTGTGTCTGCATTATTTCACTTAATGCAAAGTCCTGGACGTACATTCAATGCCAATTTAAATGACAAGATATTTCTTTTTTATGGTTAAGTATTAATTGGGTATAAAGACCATATTTTCATTCATTCAAACATTGTTGGGCATATAGGTTGAGACAAAATCTTCACTATTGTGAGAAATGTTTGCACTGAACACAATAGTAGAGCTATTTCTTCAACATGTGGATTTAACCTCCTGTGGATACACATTAAGTATTTGTATTTCTGGATCACAGGGTCATGCTCCTTTTAAATTTTGATGTGTGGGGCTTGGAACTAAGCCCAAGGGTTCTGTACCAAAAAACTACAAGACGAGTTCTTTTAAAGTTGTTAATTTTGACACATGCTGTTGCTAAGTTGTGACTTGCTTCAAACATGAAAAATCTTCTTGCATATGTTCCCAGTTAGCTGGCATTACAAGCATGGAGCTCTGTGCTTGTCTATTTTTCATTTATTTTAAAATTTCCACACTGTTTCCAAAATGACTATATAATCTATTGTTGGCTAGTTTTTAAATGGACAAATTAATTAAAAATAGTGCAGCAAACAAAGACAAACAAAAACATGGCTTAATTGAAGTAACAAGACATGAGGAATTGAACATTAGGAAAGTGAGAGATATAAATTACTAAATGAACCCTAAATAACCATTAGAAAGAGGTTTAGTGAGCCAAATTCAGACAAAAAAAATTGTTAACAGAAAGCATATAAATACGTAAATAAAAAAAAAGTGCAGAGGAGTCAAGCACCATGTGCATGCCTATAATCCCAGCAGCTCGGGAGGCTGAGGTAGGAGAATTGTGAGTTCAAAGCCAGCCTCAGCAAAAGTAACTAAGCTAAGCAACTCAGTGAGACCTTGTCTCTGAACAAAATATAAAATGGGGCTGGGGATGTGGCTCAGTGGTCAAGTACCCTGAGTCCAATCCCTAGTACTGGAAAAAAAAGAAAAAAAGCGCTGAGGATGAAACATACTGGTAAAGTACCCCTAGGTTCCACCCCCAGAACAAATAAAAAGGTGTGACAAATTATAAGAAAATAGAAATAAAAATCCAAGAAGCTCAGTTATGTACAGGAGTGAAAACCAGACATGCTCAAAGCACATTTTCATCAAAGTTTTAAAATTCACAAAAAGAGAATCTTGAGAACAGCAAGAGAAAAAGATGCGTCACCCAGAAAGGTATAATCAATAGTGAATTCCTTAGTAGAAATATTAAAATACAGTAGTTGTAAATATTACCAAAGGGGCGAAAGAATAAAATTACCAACCAAGAATAGTATATCAAGAAATACTGCTTTTCAAAGGTGAAGAAAAACAAAGAATTTAAAGATATACAAATGCCCAAAATTCATTACCACTAGGCTTGTCCCCCCCCAAAATACTAAAGGGAATCCTTCATACTGAAAAATAAACCTGCACAATAATTTAACATATAAAATTTTAATGTTTTCTTCAAAAAGTCCCATAAAATAATTCCATATTACCTTAATAATGGTACATAAAATCATTAATTTGCAATGGAATTTGAAAGAAAAAAAGCATAAAAATCAACATCAAATTGTTAATGTGAAATAACAGGTATAAATCAAAGTAATTTTGAAAAGATAAATAAATATACTGAATTTTAAAAGGAAGTGAAGTTAATTTTTACCACATTAAAATAGTGTAAACCAGTGATCTTTAAAAAATATCCATGTAAATAAAAAAATTAATATTCATAGAAGGCAAATGGAAGAGGAATCCAAGTATGTCACTATAAAATCAATGAACCATAAATTAAACCAATAAGTAGGAAAAACAATTATATAAGAAGTAAAAAAAAAAAAAAAAACCTTACACAGTAGGAGTACTAAATTCATCACTTTTAGAAATTTATTTCATTAAAACTGCATTATTTGATTATTTGATGCCAACAACCAAAGCAAAAAGCTTGACTAATAGAATTAAATCTAACAAAATACAACTATGTAATCTATAAGGGATTCTAAACCTAAGGCCACAAGTAGACTAAAAGCAAAGGATATAAGAATGTTATAAAAAGAGACCCCCCCCCAAAAAAAAAAATAAAAGTGGGCTGGCAAAATAATAATTCAGATAACACAGTTTAAAATGAAAAGTTAAGAGTTTTTTTCTTTGAAAAGAGGCAATGTAGAATATTATACAAAGATAAAAAGAACTTTCCTGTGGATACTGCAATAACAGCAGATAGATTTATAACTAAAATCAAACTTCTCAAATATAAAAAGCTAAGATTGAGAGAATTGTATAAAGAAATAGAAAGCAACACTGTAATACGAGGAGACACCAATTCCTACTTACTGTAAAGTAAAAGAAAATTAATGTTTTGTATTGCAGAAACAGATAAAACTATTTTAGAAATTTTATAGAATCTCTAAATTGTATCAATACTCCTGAAATATTCA